AGAGACCTTGTGGATAAGCATTTCAAAGGCTACTGACAGTGAACTGTTGGAGAGACGGGGAAGAATAGAAAAGAACATGTCCTGGACCTTGTCCGAGAGCTCTCTCTGCCCCAAGAAGTGCAATTTTATTTTTAAGAAAGCTTGAATGTGTTTGTATTATCACAAGACTTAATTTCCAAATAGCATAAATGTAAAATGTGTTTATTTGTTATTGCAGAGATTTGCCACAATACGGACAGAAGCAGTGGCAGTCCTATTTTGGAAGAACTTTTGATGTTTATACCAAACTCTGGAAGTTTCAACAGCAGCATCGGTAAAGGAATTTACTAGTGAAAGGAGAGTGAAAGCCCGTTTTATATATTATTTATAATTTTGACCTTTAAGTGCCCTAGTGCTTTTTATCTTGACACTTTTTTTTGGATAGGTTTTGCTATAGGGCATGTGCACTCGCCAGAAAGACAGAGACCGAAAACGAGAAATCACCCCCCAGGGGGTATGGCCACGCTGCCACAATCCCTTCTCTTTCATTCTCCTCTCGAGATCTTGGGCACACACACACACACACCCGGCATGAGTTTAAGCCACTGGTTCCGGGACTTGAACTGCAGTGGACTACATGGGAGTCCAGCAACGTAGGCATTATGCCAATTGCTGATCCCTGTTCAGATTAACTCTTAACATAGGAGGAATGATTCATGGCTTCATTCTCAAATACATGTTGTTTATTGGCCAGAGCTATTTGGGGTGGGTGGGGGCGAGTGCATAGCTCAGAGTAGCTTTTTTTATATTTCACCTTACTTGAAATAGACATCTAATACATGCTTTTTGAATTTAATTGAATGATCATATTGAAATCTCATGAAAAATTAATGAGCTTTGCTAACTAGATGGTGTTTTTCTTATTTTTGCAGATTTGATTATTTTTGAAATTTATAATCTCTTATTTCTATTTTCTTGTCTCCTATATAAAACAGACAAGTCTTGGATAATCGGTATGGCTTGAAGCGGTGGCAGATAGGGGAAATTGCTTCCAAGATCGGGCAGCTATACTACCATTATTAGTAAGTGGATCGCACATGGGGAGAATAAGGTGTTGTACTGATTAAACACAGAACGCAGAAGGATCCATCTTCTCTTCACCAGCTTGGAAAGAAAACACTGACTTATTCATGGAAACCCTAATATAATAGTTTAAACCAGACTGAGCAAGATAGCATCATGAAATGACCTTCCATAATCAGAGCAATATTTGCTTCAAAGGCTCACTTTGCAAGCAATTCATTTAGTCAGACTCACAACTTAAACTCATTTATAGCTGAAAGGAGCTTGGTCTTGGCTTTAGATAATTGGTTAATATTGGGTAGATTTGTTGTTCTTAAGGCTCATAACTTGTACATTGTGCTTTTCAGAAGGATACTATTAAAATCTCCTATTTGTAGTATATGTTCGAAAGGTAAATGAGGTAAAGATACATTTGGTTATATCCTTAGAATAATAACGTCAATGTAGTCTTACTCTGCGTCAAGGAAGAAAGCTCCTTTTAGGAATCTAAATCTCACGATGATGAAGTGATGTCAGGTATTCAAAGGCTTGGGCCATTTTTCATTAAAGGAAATGCTTTTCTCTTCCCACAGTGTGACATGCTACCCCAAATGCCCACCATTAAAACTACTCTTTAGGGTAAACTAAAAAAAAAAAATTTTTTTAAGTCCTTTAAAACCTAGAAATGCTCATCAGAGAACATAACTCATGAGCATCCCTTGAAAGTTATTGTGGGTTAGTTAGCCCATTCCTGAGTTCCGAGAGGAAGAAACCAAAGGATGGACCAGAGGTCAAATGGCAGTATGGAGCTGGGAAGGGCATGGATGTTCTGGTCCCTGGGGATGATTTAACTTGGGTCCTGTGCTGTTGGAGAGTTCCTTTGACAAATGACAACAGCATGTACTTTGAGTTGGGGTCAGAAGAGGTTTGGGAGGAAGAGGTTTGGGGGCTCCAAGTCTCCGAAACCTCTTCTGATCCTCTTATTTTATTAAGAGATTTTTCTTATTATGATGATTGTTTTATTCATTTTAAGGGTGAGAAATTATCACCTACTGATGGAAATTTAGGAATCATTTTCCTACCCTCGTGTAGAGGACTAGAATACAAGTATTTCGGCAAAAAGTTTCGGGCAATGTCATTAAAATTGAAAAATCTTTTTTCTCATAGCTTACGCACATCTGAGACCAGCTATCTGAATGAGGCTTTCTCCTTCTATTCTGCGATCAGACAGAGATCATATTATTCTCAAGTCAATAAAGAGGACAGGTATGTATCTACTATGTTTTTAGAAAGATGAGGATAAAACATTCAAAATCTTTAGTCTATGTGGAAGTCGTGCACAAAAGCATACATTTGTTTATAACTGGTTTCACTTAACAGGCATTTCTGGGTGCCTCGTATGTCCTAGCCTTCTAAAGCTAGTCAGAGCACCAGGGTATCAGGTCCAGTCAGAGCACCAGGGGAGGTGGGAGGGGGGTGCCTGCGTGCCTGCCTTCTTTCCTCTCCTCCCTCCCTGTGTGTTGGAGTTCTCTCTTTCTTTCACTGCCAGACGGCATGTGCACTCCACAGAGAGAAAGAAAGAGAAAGCACCCCCCAGGTGTGACCACACCACAATCCCTTCTCCCCCATTTCTCCATTCTGTCAGGACCTTCGGCAGACATACATATGTTCTGGTATGTTTTTCAAGCTGCCAGGGCCAGGATATGAACTGCAGTAGGTCATGTGGGATCCAGCTCCCTTACCTGGTAGTCTACAGAGCTGGGGTTATTTCTTTACAGAAGGCTGGATCACTTAGGTTTCATAGAAAAAGGCTTGCAAAAATGAGGCTTAGTTAGTAACCTTTATTCATTTTTGCCTTTCTGTTCTTAATTCATGTATCTTCAAAAGTTTCTTGATAACTGTCAAGTGCTAGTGCTGTTTGGATTTTCTTTATAAACTGAATACTGTTTTGCAGGGGCCAGCAGTTGTCATAGTGGTTAAGGGTGCTGAATTCCCACATGGCTGACCGTGGTTCGAATCCTGGACCTGGCGGCTTGCTTTCTCACTCTCTCTCTTTCTCTCTCTCTCCCTCCCTCTCTCTCTCTCTCTTACTGTGTCCCTCTCTAGTCAAAATAAACAAATAAAGTTAAATAAAATAATTCTTAAAAAATACTGTTTTGCAGTCATGTAACTGTTGTTTAAAGAAATCATGTAGAATTTACACATGTCCAGTAGATATCTGTTGAACACTTATTAAATATTTGTTGCCGTGTCACATGTTTTGGGGGACATGATGAAAAAAGATCAGGTATACTATTGGGTTGTTGGAAAAGTCATGGTACATTTGTACATGAGAAAAATGGAAAAATATGTCATGACTTTCTGACAATCCACTAGTCCCCTTTCAGAAGACTATCTTCTTTTTTTTTAAAGAATTACTTTATTTTATGCATTGTGTCATTATTTTATTTTATTTTATTGAGGTTGACCAGAGAAAGAGAGAGAGAGGAAAGAAAAGTGAGAAAGCAAGCTGCCAGGTCTAGGACTTGAACCTCTGTCAGCCCTGTGGTAGTCTAGCCGCCTTAACCCACCATGCCACCTGCTAGCCTCCAGAACACTATCTTCTAATGGGGTTACAGACATATTTGGGGTACCGATGTGCTATTGCATTACTAAATCCAGATGAGGATGGAATTGGGGGAAAAAATCAGAGATCTGCTGGAGAATTCATTGCTAGCATTCCAAGAGTATTTGGAAGAGAAAGTTTAGTCATAGAAGGTCTATGTTCTCTCTCCTCCCAGCAACAGGACTCCTAGTTGTTAGAGTGAAAAGATTATATTATCTCACCAAATAGTTGTGAGATATTTTCCTAGAGAACACTTTGTGGTTGACTGTCATGAGCTTGCCAGCTAAGCAGTGGCATTGTTTGGAAAGCCCCACTCTTGTAAATCCCCTTTATGCCCTTGTGCATCTTATTCTGACTGGTCTAGGGGATTTGGTTTGAGATGCTGAATTCTACTTTCTCCTGGTATTTGTTGTCACAGCCCTCCTTTATCCTGCTATTACAAGTCCATTTGGTTACTTTTCCTTTAGGTTTTCTTAGGGTTTGCTTCACATATTTTCACTACAGATATATTTCCTCCTACTTTTTTTAAATTCACGTTATACAATTTGTCTTCATTCTTAACGAGATAAATTGAATCTCTTAAAAAAATGCAAAAGAGGGACTAACAGATGGCATAATGGTTGCATCACTGGAGTCCTACATAGTTGATTGCGATTTGAGTCCCAGACCCTGCAGCTTGAAACTCACACCGGGTGCATGTGCGTGTGTGCCCCAAATCCTGAGAGGAGAGGAGAGGAGAAGGGACTGTGGTATGGCCATTCTCCCTAAGGGGTAATGTTGTGCTTCCATGTCTCTTTCTCTGGTGAGTGCATATGCCCTATAGCTAAAATATCTCTCTTAAAAAAGAAAAAATGCAAAAGAGTTGTGTCACATTTTATTTGCCTTAAAAATAAATGTATGCGGGTGACATGTACTGCTAAGACACTGTGCTGGGACCACTTGGGAGGCCCAAGTTCAATTCCTGATCCATCCTGAAGGCTAAGCATGGTGGAATGCATCTGTAATTTCAGCACCTTCAGAGGCTAAGGCAGGAGGATCACAAGCTCAGGGGTGGCCTGGGCAACATAATAAGACAAACCTTGTCTGAAAAAAGAGCCAGGCCTGGTGGCATGCACCTGTAGTCCCAGCTCGGAGGCTTCATGCAGGAAGATCATGACAGGGAGACACTGTTTTAAAAAGAAAAAGAGGGCATTCAGTGGCATGGTGTTTAAGGCAAGTGGATCCCACATGGCTGACTGAGTGGTTTGAGTCCTGGACCCAGCGACCTGAGAAACACAGGCACTTGTGTGTGCCTGAACAAAATCTTGAAAAGAGATTGGAGGAGAAGGGGTTGCAGCATGACTGTCCCCCATGGGAGGTGTTTTCTTACCTTCCCTCTCCCTCTATCTATCCCTCTGTCTGATGAACACCTTCTTGCAAATAGAGAGGGAGGGAGGGACAGAGAGAGAGAGAGAGAAGGAAAAAAAAGTGTATAAACAGAGAACTATTTTAAGCAATAGCAAGAATACCTTGTATAATTCTCTTTTCTTCATTTCTAATTTGCCAAAAGGGAAATCAGCCTTGGGCTCCTTGGCTTAAAACCCAACAGTTTGATTTATTGCAGTCATTTTTTTTTACCTTAATAGCAAATACCACATCAGAATTGTTTTCCTGTGTTGCCTCCTACAGTGAGGCAGATTAACTGAGGTAGGATTACAGACTCTCTTGTTTTGAGTAAATTAGGATCACAGGACAATCTGGTGCAACATCTTGACCTTGTTCTATGTGCTTAGGGAATGGCTTTGTTCATTGGGTACATTGTCATTAGTTCACGCAGGGCAAGAAGCCAGTCAAGGAAGCAATCAGTAACAGCTGTTAAAATCAACAGCCAGTAGATAAAAGTGATTAAGAAAGAACTTGGCAACTCCACAGTGCATTTGAAAGGCGAAAGGAGCAAGTTCTCTCTGCACTGTTTGAGCACCTAAGGACTAGGTGGAGGCCAGGAGGAATAGTTTATTCCAGGTTCTAGCAGTTATCAAGGCGACTGCCTGTCCCTAAGCACAGACAACTCATAGAACAACTCACAGGCGGCCATCCCGCTCAGTATAGGAAATGTTACCGCGCACTTGTCTGACGAGCCGCGACTCAGCCTGTGTTGTAGATGACCAAGGCTGATTCTCATCAGAGTGAGATATGGAGAAAGTAAAGTTCTAAGTACACAGGAGGCTGTGGGAAGATGATGTCGTTGGCCACCAGGAAGAACAATTTCCGGGATAAGTGTAGAGAGAAGTCGTACAAGTCTGGGCTTGGCAGTTGGACAAGGCTGGAAATCTGGAGTTTAGAAGTTCCACCAACATGATGTCAGCATTAGTGGTAACGATGCTGGAAATTTTTTAAAGTGAGAAACAGTCTAAAGCTGTCAGCTCTGACACTTCACAGTGGTGGTGCTGATGATGATGAGGAGGACCTGGCATGGACCTTTCTAGATAGGGTCACACGTGCTTTTCTGCACTTTGCTATGGAATTGGCCAGTAGGCTGTGGGCTGTATTTCACGTTATCTGGCTCGGTTGTGGAGGCCTGTGGTGTAGTGAGTGGAGAGCACTGATGCATTTCATCTGTGCTTGGCTACAACTCAGTTTAACACAGCAGTTTCCAAAATAGAATCACCACCCACTTCTGTATGCTTCTTTAACACAGGGATAGGCCCGCTATGGCCTACATGCCAGATTGGGCCTATGGCCTGTTTTTGGACTGCCCGACAGCTTAGAATTGTTCTTACTATTCAAAGGGTTGTAAAAAAGGGAAAGATAAATATGCTGCAGACACCATATGTGGACTGCATAGCTTAAAATATTTACTATCTTGCCCTTTATAGAAAGTTTACTCGTTATATAATCCATGATACAAAGCCATAGAGCCAAGGTTTTTTAGGTTGTTTTGTTTTGTTTTTATCAAAAAATTAAAAGAATTGGGGCCAGCAGGTAGCGTGGTGGTTAAGGTGCTGGATTCCCACATGGCCCACCACAGATCAAGTCCTGGGCCTGGAACCTTGAAACTCACACTGGGCATATGTGCGTACATGCCCAAAATCATGAAAGGAGGGTGGAAGAGAAGGGACTGTGGTGTGGTCATCCCCCCGGGGGATGATTTCTCACTTTACCTCTCTCTGTCTTTCTCTGTTTCTCCCTGGTCAGTGTATTCCCTCTGTGGCAAACAAACAAAACAAAACAAAACCCTAAAAAAATAAAATATTGTCTACTCTAAAACACCTAGAAATGCTGGATAAAATAGTTTAGTCATCCCTTGAAGAGGACAGCTTAGCTGTCGAGAGGTAAGCAAGCCAGAAGTTCATTAATGCTGTCGCCAGTCCTATGCTGAACTTGCAAGAGGGAGCTCAATTTAGTGCTATAAAAGAGCAAGTCAGAGGAACCTAGAAGAAAGGGGGTGATATAAAGGAAGGATTACTAAAAAATTATTCCCTTTTTTCTGAAACCATGGACTTTATGAGGCAGTAATCATTGTAGTAATAGCTAATTGAAGTTATTAAAATAAAATGGAGCCGGATCCTGGGTAACAATAACATGAAAGTAAAGAGCATCAAGAATTGAACCATTCTTTGGGCCAGTTCTGTAGTGTGGTGATGAAGTGATGTACTTAGAAAGCTGCGTTCAACATGGCTGGCTGAGATTTGAGAATACCCAAAATCTTGTCTGGAAAGAAAAATGGAGGAAAAAGTATTCCATGCATCAGTAAGGTGAGGGCGGGAGTGCTTTCTCTTTCTCTGTCTCTGTCTCTCTCTGAGAACTATACTACCCACTGACAATTTGAAGAAAAAAAAAAATGAACCTTTGTTAAAAAAAAAAAAAAACCAACTTATTGTTCAGAAGAAGCATCGAGTGAAGTAAATTTCATTTATAAAATTTTTAATAAAAAAATTTTTAGGGGACCAGCAGATGGCATAAAGGTTGCATTGCTGGACTCCTATGTAGTCGATCTCAGGTCAACTCATGGACCTAGTGGCTTAAAACTCATGCCAGGTTCCTGTGTGTGCTCAAAATCCCAAGAGCAGAATGGAGGAGAAAGGATTGTGACATGGCTATCCCCCCTGGGGTTGATTTCTTGCTTTTTGTCTCTCTGTCATTCTTATGGGCGCATGCACACTATAGCAAAAATCTCTCTCTTAAAAATTTTTTCTTTTTCAGTTTTGCTGTAGGAAACATGCACTCGCTGGAGAGGCAGAGATAGAAGTCACCACCCAGGATAGGACCATGGTGCAATCCATTCTCCTTCATTGTTTTATAATTTTGGGTGTACACACATAGCCAGTGTGTTTTTTCAGGCTGCTAGGTCCAAGACTCAAACCATGCCATTGGCTTTGCGGGATCCAGCCATCTTAACCTCCATGTCACCTGCTGGCCCAAAATAGGTTTCTTTTTAAGAACGTTTTTCTTAAATTTAACTTTATTATTATCATTATTTTAATTTGACTGGAGAAGGACAGAGCGAGACAGAGTGAGACAGCAAGCTGTCAGGTTCTGGGCTTGAACCATGGTTACCCATGTGGTAATCCAGCTCCCCTAACCACCAAACCACCTGCTGGCCCTTTTTTTTTTTTTTTTTTAACTCAATAAATGAGTCAATTGGTAGATACATTTCTTTTCTTTCTTTCCTTTTTTTTGGGAGGTGGGTGGGGAGAGAGGTTTTTGCTATAGGACACATGCGCTCGCCAGACAGACAGAGAGAGACATAGAGACAGAAAGCGAGAAATCACCCTCCAGAGGGGTTGGCCATGCCGCAATCCCTTCTCCTCCATTCTCCTCTCGGGATCTTGGGCATGCATGCTCATGTGCCTGGCGTGAGTTTTAAGCCACCAGGTCTGGGACATGAACCGTGGTCAACTACATGGGAGTCCAGTGACATAGCCATTACGCTAACTGCTGGTCCCTCTTTCTTTTTCTTTTCTTTTCTTTTCTTTTCTTTTCTTTTCTTTTCTTTCTTTCTTTTTTTTTTTTTTTTTAGAGATTTTTGCTATAGGATGTGTGTGCTCTCTGTAGAAACAGAGACAGAAAGCGAGAAATCACCTCCTGGAGAGGTGGCCATGCCACAATTCCTTCTCTTCCATTCTCCTCTCAGGATCTTGGGCACAAATGTACATATGCCTGGCATGAGTTTTAAGCTGCCACGTCCAGGACTTGAACTTCGCTCGACTACGTGGGGGTCTAGTGACATAACCATTATGCTATCTCCTGGTCCCTTGGTAGATGCATTTCTAAATAACTCATGAACAAAGGTGTTTTTTTGTTTGTTTGTTTGTTTGGTAGGGATTTCAATGAATTTGTAGATGACTGTGGGTGTAGTATTAGCATAGCACCTATATTGATTCTTCAAATTTATTAAAAGGACTGTCTTCCTAGTTTTTGCATATTTTTCAAGTACCTTGTTCAGGTTTTATAATTTTTTTCACATGTGCACACGCCTGGCATGAATTTAAGCTGCCAGATCCAGAACTCGAACCGCAGTCGACTATGTGGGAGTCCAGCGATGCAACCATTATGCCATCTGCTGGTTCCAAGATTTTTTTTTAAAGAATCATTTTATTCAAGTTTACTTATTTATTTATTTATTTATTTATTTATTTAAATTTGACAAGAAAGGGACAAAGTGAGAGAGAGAGAGAAAATGAAAAAGCAAGCCACCAGATTCGGGGTTTGAACTATGGTCGGCCATGTGGGAGTCTAGCTCTCATAACCACCAAAGAAGATTTTAAAAAGATTTTTGTTATGGGACCAGCAGATGGCATAGTAGTTATGTTGCTAGACTCCCACCTGGTCAACAGTAGTTCAAGAACCAGACCCAGTGGCTTAAACCCACACTGGTGGGCGTGTGTGTGTGCATGCCCAAAATCCTGAGAGGAGAACGGAGAAGGGATTGCAGTGTGGCCAACCCCCCCCCCCACGGGTGTGTGTGTGTGATTTCTTGCTTTCTGTCTTTCCTATGAGCACACACTCCTTATAGCAAAAATTTCTTTCAAAAAATAAATAAATAAAATTTTGAGAAGAGATTTTGTTACCAAAAATGTCTAACATACAAAATGTATTTTTGTGAAGTTATTATATTTGGGATGTGGAATGTGGCCAGCAGGACACGGTAATTAGAAATGTCAGATTAAAATCGAGAAGGAGTGACTACGAAGTGTCAAGTGCGAACAAGTGTAATATTGGTTATAATTTGGCCTTTAATACACTAAGGATACATATTGCTGTTCCTAGCAACTAGCAAAGGAACAATAACAAGAGTTATGACTAGAAACCCTATTGAGAGTATAAAATAAACTTTTGATTAAAAGTAGACACAATCCCACCCGAAGCGTTAATGACATTAAATGCAGATGGGCTAGTACAAGCTCGAGATCGTCAGAGTTGATTAAACTATAATTATGTGCTGTCTACAATAGATGCATTGATGCTTTGTTTATTTCTTTTGTGTGAGAGAGAGACAGACAATAGATGGAGATAAACAGGCATCCCCAGCAGTCTGCACACTGCAGTCTGTTCTAGTTCTAGCTGTCCTGGATCATAGACAAGTGTGCATGCAACCGGCTTGCTTGCGGAGGTCTTGGTAAACAAACCCAGGGTCTTTCTCATGTGAGTCCAGTTACATTACTCTGCCACCTGGGCCCAAAAGATGCATTTAAATAAAAAGGCACAGAGTCAGCCCCTTACCTATATCAGTTGTTAAGGTAGCTTACTCTCACATTACTGACTGGTTTGAGTACCAGCCCTGGCAGCTTGAAAAATATACCAGGTGGAACCAGCAGATGGCATAATGGTTACTTTGCTGGAATCCCATGTAGTCAACTGCAGTTGAAATTCCAGACCTGGTGACTTAAAACTCATGCCAGGCACACGTGCATGTGTGCCCAAAATCCTGAGAGGAGAAGGGAAGAGAGGGAATTGTGGCATGGCCACAATCCTCCCTGGGAGGTGAGTTCTTGCTTTTCTGTCTCTCTAGTGAGCACATGTGCCCTATAACAAAAATATCTTTTTCAAAAAAGAAAAATACACTGGGCACATATGTGTGCATGCCCCAAATCCCAATAGGATGGAGCAGTAGGGGAGGGATTGTGGCATAGTCATGCCCCATTGAGGGTATTTTCTCCCTTCCCCAGTCCTTTATGAGTACATTCACCCTCATGCAATTCAAAAAATTTAAATATAAAGAGATACATAGTAGAAAGAAGAGGCATAACATCTAAACAATAAGCATGAAAAAGGTGCTTGATTATATTGATACCAAAAAAGATTCCAAGATAAAAAATGCTCTAGAATTCTTTTCACTTTGTCTTTTTTCCTACCTGTAGTCTTATATTTTTCTTTAAGTCTTGCTATAGGGCACATGTGCTTGCCACAGAGAGAGAGGAAAAAGTAAGAAAGCAAGCCACCAGGTTCGGGACTCAAACCATGGCCGGCCATGTTTATCAAACCACTGAGTCTGGGATTTGAACCACTGTTGGCCATGTGGGAATCCAGTGCCTTAAACAACATGCCACCTGCTGGCCCACACCTAGATTTTCACATAGATATTTGTCAAATAAACAAATGAATGACTTAATGAATCACTGAGTTATATTAGAGCCAACTCTGTCCTAGTGGTTGAGGAAATCAGATCCCACAGACCCAACCACAGTTTGAACCTTGTCCCTAGTGACCTGAAAAACATTCTGTGCACATGTGCATGCATGCCCCAAAGCCTGAAGGGTTGGAGAAATGGAGGAAAAAGGATTGTAGTGTGATCACTCCCTGCTGGGGTGTGTGCTCATTCTCTCTGTCTCTGGCAAGTGCACACACCCTCTGGCAATTAAAAACAGTGTATTTAAAAGATTATAAGGTTATACGTGGAAATGCTTATAATTGCAAAACAGAATGGAAACAATTTATAATTGGAAACATTTTTAAAGTGTATATTCTTTTTTAATCTCATGAGTAATTTTTAATTCATCTTCCATAGACCTGAATTGGTAGTGAAGAAGTTACGATATTATGCAAGGTTTATAGTAGTTTGTCTTCTTCTGAACAAAATGGATGTTGTGAAGGATCTGGTAAAGGTAAATGGACTTTAATTAAAATCCTAATCTCAAATTATATATGGATAATTGTTAGAAAAATAGATTTTAGGTGAAAGTAATTTTTATGTATCTAAATAATTATGATAGAACATTATGGCTTCTGACAAGGGTAATGAAAACAACTTTTTTCAACTATTTATATTTCAAACACATACTAATAAGAGATCATTGTCTCGGGTCTGGTAGGTGGTGTGGTGGTTAAGGTGCTAGACTCTCACGTAGCTGACTGTAGTTCCAGACCTGGTAGCTTTCTTTTTCACTTTCCCCTCTTTTTCTATGTCTCTCTCTGATTAAATTCAATTATAATAATAAAGTTAAATAAATAATTCTTTTAAAAAGAGAGAAATAATTATCCTAATTTCTTGCTTTTGTTTCTTTAGCATCTTTTACAGTTTTCTTTTTCTTTTTTTGGAGTGGTTTTTGCTATAGGGTGTGTGAGCTCGCCAGAAAGAGAGAGACAGAAAGCGAGAAATCACCCCCCAGGGGGGATGGCCACGCCACAGTCCCTTCTCCTCCATTCTCCTCTTGGGATCTTGGGCATGTGCACACATGCACCTGGCGTGAGTTTAAGCCACCAGGTCTAGGACTCGAACCACAGTCCCACTACATGGGAGTTCCAGTGACATAGCCATTACGCTAACTGCTGGTCCCAGCATCTTTTACATTTCATAGCTCATTAATGGATAGTTGGAAAATGCAGACAACAAAATTCAGTTTAAGAGAAAATAATTGAAAGATTTGATCAGGAAAAAATATGTTTTATATAAAGGTATTGTGAATGAATTTTAGTTTTTCTGTCTGTATCACTCAGTCCTTCATTAACTCAGGTGACTAAGAGTTAACTGTATTCAGGAGCAACTTGATACCTGAAATTATTGCATACTAAATTCTGGTTAACTCTAGTCAGTGGTTTTTTGATGGCATACTTGAAAAAAAACTTTTTTTTTTTTTTTTAGTTTTTTTTTTTTTTTTTTTGCCATAGGGCATGTGTGCTTACTGCAGAAAGACAGACATGAGAAGAAAAGTGAGAAATCATTCCCAGGACGGAAGATGGCCATGCCTTCTTCTTTCTCTTCTCAGGATTTTGTACATGTACATACACAACCCAGCATCTTTTTTTCAGGCCACTGGGTGTGGGACTTGAACTCTGGAGACAGCCATGTCGTATCCAGAGCCTTCACCACCATGCAAGCTGCTGGCTCATGATGGCATTCTTTCACATTTTTTGTTACTCAAATATAACATGCTAGTTTGGATGAGGCCACCAGTAGTTCTGCATGCTGTTCCTCCATTTTCATCCTCCTCCAGTTACTAATAAGGCTGTTTCCCAGGAAAAGTATGATAAAAATTCAAAGAAAATCAGGAATAAACTTTTTTTAAATGTTAGCTATTTTTTTTAAGACTTTTTTTTTTTTTTTTTTTTTTTTTTTTTGCCATACAGTGTGTGCCTATGCTGTAGAGACTGACAGTGAGAGGGAAAGTGAGAAATCAGCCCCTCAGAAAACTAGCCATGCTGCAGTCCCTTTTCCTTCATTCTCCTCCTGGGATTTTTGGACACACATGCTCATGCCCCTGGCATGATTTTCAAGCTGCCAGGTCTGAGACTTAAACTGCTTTGGCAAGGTGCGAGTCCAGGGCCTTAATCCCTCCGCCATCTGCTGGTCTCCTAAATGTTAACATTTTTGAATGTCTCCTTTTAGACAGTTCTGTTCATAAATGCATTGCTTATGTAATACTGAATAGGAAATGGATCTTTATGACGATCTTACTGGATATGTATCACTCCAGAGTTTTTTATTTTGAAACAAATCCATGGAGTTTCCCTTCTTTTTTTTTGGTTATAATCGGTGTTGTGTATGGATAATAATCAAGGTTCTTAACCCTCTCAGTTTCTGTTAGGAATATGATGTAATCTATATACAAATTTTTATGTTTTTTTAATAACCTTTTTCATTGTGATATTTTAAAACCAGGAATTGTCAGATGAAATAGAAGATTATACTCACCGTTTTAACACGGAAGATCAAGTGGAATGGAACTTGGTGCTTCAGGAAGTAGCAGCTTTCATTGAGGTCCGTTTTTGACAAGCCAGGTTGTCATAATTATGGTTAAGTAAATGACTGTGTGGGAAGTGGTTCATTGTGTGTATATGTTAAGAAGAAAGAACAACTTATGTTGATAAATCATCTCAGCCGTTAACTTTGTCTTGCTTCCTTCTCTAGGCGGACCCTGTAATGGTGTTAAATGATGATAATACCATTGTTATCACTTCTAACCGCCTGGCAGAAACAGGAGCCCCGCTGCTGGAACAGGGCATGATTGTGGGGCAGTTGTCTCTGGCTGATGCACTCATTATTGGTAATTGTAATAATCAGGTAAAGAATGTGAAGGAATTATGCTTAAAGTTAATTTCAAAAAATAAATGTTTTCAATGATCACAGAAGTATATCCTTATAAATATCTTAACACTCATCTTCAGGAAAGTGGCTAATTAAATTATGCTATGTGGCCCAGCCTCTGATGCAGTCACAACTATGGTGAATTGCAGTTTGGGGCTGACCTTAGGTTCTAATCCGTGGCCTCATTGGCCTGAAGCAAACTGGGCACATGCAGAAGATCCTGCAGCCAGAGATTTGGGGAAATGGGCTTACTGTGTGCCTCTCTGTTTCTGCCTCTCTCTAGTCTGTGTGCATGTACACATAAGTACATGCACTGTCTATCATGAATTTTTTAATTATGCTGTGTGTATGTGAAATATTGGATTGTCAGAAAGGTCATGACACATTTTTTCGTAGGAAAACGTAGAAAAAAATATGTCAAGACTATTTTTTATAGATTTAGATGGATTAGAAAGAATTTCTTTTTTTTTTTTCTTTTTTTTTTTGGAGAGGTTTTTGCTATAGGGCCCGTGTGCTCGCCAGACAGAGAGAGACAGAGAGACAGAAAGCGAGAAATCACCCCCCAGGGGGAATGGCCACGCTGCAGTCCCTTCTCCTCCAGTCTCTTCTCGGGATCTTGGGCACGCACGCACACGTGCCCAGCGTGTTTTAAGCCACTGGGTCCGGGACTCGAACCGCGGTCGACTACATGGGAGTCCAGCGACATAGCCATTACGCTAACTGCTGGTCCCAAAATAATTTCTTATAGAAAGATACTCATGGTAAATAAAAATGAACTTGCTACAGAGCTATGTAAACAGAATCCTTTCATATAGATTAGAATGTCAGTAATTATTTCTGTTGTTAGCATGTCTATATGTTTGTGGGACCAGCAGATGGCATAGTGGTTAAGGCTCTGGACACTCCTACTTGGCTGACCGTGGTTTGAGTCCTGAACCTGGTGGCTTGCTTTCTCACTTTTCCTCTGTCTCTCTCTCTCTGTGTCTCTCTCTGGTAAAATTAAAATAAATGGATGAATAAATAAAATTAAATAAATAATCCTAAAAATTAAAAAAAAAGAATGTGTATGTACCTGCATACACACACCCTAGAAAAAGGAAAAAATTCTAGGAAATTTCTAGGATAAAATTGCCAGTATCTAAAAGGTTTATTTCCAAATAGCAGAATTATGGGTGAATTTAATTTTCTTATTTACAGTTTTCTTTCTTTTTTTTTTTTTTTTTGGAGTGGTTTTTGCTATAGGGCTCATGCACTCACCAGAAAGACAGAGAGAAGACAGAAAGCAAGAAGTCACTCCCCAGGGGGAGCTAGCCACGCCACAATCCCTTCTCCTTTCTTCTCCCAGGATCTTGAGCATGCATGCACACACGCCTGGTGCGAGTTTAAGCAACTGACTTGAACCATGGTCGACTACATGGGAGTCCAGTGACATAGCCATTATGCCAACTGCTCGTTCCCTTATTTACAACTTTCTAAACTTTAAAAATTTCCCTTTATTACTTTTTCAATTGGGTAAAAAAAATAGGGAGAAGTTGTTTTTGAGTACATTTGTCAAAAGCAAATTCATAAGGAGCCCTGTTGCCGTGGCTAAGCCCTGTGCATAGGGAGCTGGTTTCCACGTGACCAGCTGTGGCTTGAAAAACAAGCTGGGTGCATGGGCATGCTTACCCCAAATCCTGATGGAATAGAGAAGCGGAGGAAGAAAGGATTAGGGGATGACCAAGCACATTGGTGGACACTTTTCCTTTTCTTTCTGATGAGTGCATATGTTCTCTGGAAGTTAAAAAAAAAAAAGTGAACTCAGTTTTTTTTATTTTTTATGTTTGGTTCTTTTTTTAGAGAGAGATTTTTGGCATAGGACAGGTGCACTCGCTAAAGAGACAGAGAGCAACAAATCACCCCACGGGGGGATGGCCACACTATAATCCATTCTCCTCCATTTTCCTCTTGGGATTTTGGTCATGCACACACACACATGCCTCATGTGAGTTTCAAGCCACTGGGTCCGGGACTCAAACCACAGCCAGCCATCTGGGAGTCTAATGACATAACCACTATGCCATCTGCTGGTCCCCACTTCAGATGTTTTTTGATGACAGAATAGTCTCATGATGATAGTGCCAGAATTTCACATACTGCATGTGCTACAGATGTAGTTTACTGAAAATTATGGAATCTTAGAAAAATTGCCATTAATACATTTTTTCTGTATAAGTTATTTATACACGTTTAATTATTTTTCTTTTTTTCAAGAGAGATTCTTGCTATAGGGCATATGCATTCCCCAGACATACAGATAGACAGAAAGCAAGAAATCACCCCCCAGGGGTGATGGCCACACTGCATGCAATCCCTTCTCCATTCTCCTCTCGGGATTTGGGGCATGCAGATGCACACACCCAGCATGAAGTTTAAGCCACCATATCAGGGACTTGAACCATGGTCTACCACATGGGAATCCAGCGATGTATTACACCATCTGCTGGTCCCATATACTGGTTTTAATTGTATATTCTACTCTAACAACTTTTTTTTTTTTTGAGAGGTTTTTGCTATAGGGCATATGCACTTGCTAGAGAGACAGAGAGAGACACCACAATCCCTTCTCCTCCATTCTCCTCTCGGGATCTTGGGCACGCACACACACGCACCTGGAGTGAGTTTAAGCCACCAGGTCCAGGACTCGAACTGCAGTCGACTACATGGGAGTCCAGTGACATAGCCATTACATTAACTGTTGGTCCCACAACTTTCATTTTTATTACTGTTGAAATTTTCTAATACCAGGACAAGCAGGGGGCATATTGGTTAAGGTAATGGACTCCCACGTGGTCAGCTATGGTTCAAGTCCTCGATCTGGCATCTTGAAAATCATGGTGGATGTTTGTGTGTGTGTGCCCAAAATTCTGAGAGGAGAGTGTAGAAGGGATTGTGACGTGACCATGCCCCCTAGTGGTGATTTCTCATTTTCCCTCTTTCTATCTCTGTCTCTCTCTCCAGCAAGTGCTTACCCCCTATGGCAAAAAAGTATTTTTTTAAAGAAATTTTTGCTGTAGAGTGTGCACTTGCCAGAGATACAGAAATTTAAAAATTGCCCTCTGAGGAGAAATGGCCACATTACAATCCTTTCTACTCTAGTCTTCCCTGGGGATTTTAGGCACATATGCACATGCACCCAGTGTGATTTTTTAAGTCGCCAGAACCAGGACTTGAACTGCTGTCAACCATGTGGGAATCCAGCCAAATAACCCCTATACCACCTGCTGGTCCCTTGGAAAAAAATATTAAAATAATTTTTTTCTGATATCTCCTCCATTTGGGGCTATTAGTTTGCAAATTGCTAAATTAAAACATTGTTGACATTATAACCTGTATATACAAAGTGGACACATTTTGAAACATGATTTTTATACATATATTATCTGAAGGCTCACTATTTTTCTCAGTTTTAAGACATTTAGAAGAAAAATAGGGAGGCAAAGCATTAATGCGTCAAAGAAATGTATTATCTGTTGAAGATATTTTATAGTTTTATCAACTGTACTAGGGAGAAATGTTCACCTGTTGAAATATTCATTTTGTAAGCTAAATAATGTGATTGAATGTATAAAAGAAAATGAAATAAAAAATTTTTTAATTCAAAAATTCTTAAAAATTAAAAAATTTTATTGATTAAACAAATGTAAATAAGAGCCCAATGAGGTGACAGCCAACCAAATGGTTAAAAAATGAAACAAAGCAGGCAAAAATACTAGTCATAGCATGTCCTAGTATGCTTGTACAAAAACTGGATATCTTATACCTTGTTGGTAGAAGCATGCATTGTTATATCTGCTTTAGAAATGTTTTAGGTATTATTGAGTACAGCTGAACATATGTAAACCCTATGATCAAGCAATTCCAATATTCTCTTTTGATTTGTAGAAGTTTCTGCTATATTCTCCATGGAAGTCCTTTGTCATATTTACGTATTAAAATATCTCCTCTGGACCGGCTGGTGGTGTGGTGGCTGAGGCAGCTGCATCCCTCTGGGCTGTTCAAGTCCAGCAGCCTGACAAACACGTCGGGCATGTGTGTGTGCGTGCCCAAGATCTTGAGAATGGAGGAGAAGGCATTTGGGTGTGACCATCCCTCTTTGGGGGGGTGCCTTTTCACTTTCCCTCTTCCTCTGTCTCTCTGCTTCTCTCTTCCCTGAGAGAGACAGAGAGAAAGACACGTGTGCACGCGCATCCCTAACAGGATTCTTGTTCATCCCAGTCCCAGCTGGCCTGGATTAGGGGACTTTCCCATGTGGTTCTAGTTGCACCACCACATGCCCCTGCCTGGCGCCTTATAAGGTTAATCATGTCATGACTTCAGTGAGAGACTCAAGAGTTTTGCAAATGAATTGTTCGTTTGTTCAGTCGACCAGTGTCTATCGAGCACCAGTTATATATGCGGCACTAGAGATGGAAAAAAAAAGACAAAGCGCCTTCCCCAATGGAGCTTACAGTCTAGTTGTAAAGATAAATATTAAACAATCATGTGGATAAATATCAAATAGCCACTTCAGGAAATATGACAGAGGAGGAGTGTGTGGTTCCAGTATTTGTAATGGAGAAATTTGACCTAGTCCAGGAGGCATGGTCAGTTCATCGGAGAACTCAGGCTGAGAACTAAGGGGCAATAGAAGTCAGTCCAGAGCGTACCGAGCAGCAGGAAGAACGTGTTGTAGCCTGGAGGTAACAAGGACATGGTCAGGACAGCCATTAACAGAAGCCTGGCTTGGGGTGGATCGCAGCATCGGGACGCTGTTGTGGGTGCTGTCTCTGTCTTCGTTGCTCCGTCTGACTCCCTCAGTCATGAAATAAATGAATGGATGGATATTGGTGGAGGGCAGGCAGGCAGCCTAAAGTGGCTGAACCCGAGAGAATGAAAGGAACAAGAAAGTGAGGGGAGACAGGCAGGGCTGTATTACCCAGGCCTGAGAGGGCATACTAAGTAATCTGTACCCTACGTCCATTGGAATAACAACAGAGGGTTTGATGCCAGGGAGGGTCTTTTCATGGATTCTGAAAAGATCGTTTTGGTTGTGGTTGTGGAAAATGGATCAGAGCCAGAATGGGGTGGCAGAGCAGTTAGGAAATGATTGCAGTCATCTTGGCAATGAATGGCGGAAATATCTTGTACTAAAGGGTGGTAGTGATGATGAGGCAATGAGGCTGGTTTCTAGAAATACGTAGAATGAACAACTGGTGGTATTTGGTCTGTGGTTAAATATGCAAATAAGACAAGTAGATAAAGAAGATGGTTTCTAGTTTCCTGGCTTATTTTGTGGGTAGATATGTGATAATATCAGTTAGATATTATCAGATATGTAATAAATCAGGAAACCACTTTCTATGGTTTGGGATGTAACAAACCTATCTGTAGAGGAAAATAGAGAGGAGAATTAATGAGGAGCTAAAAGACTAAAGGAATTTGACCCAGCATTAAGGATTAGAGGATGAAGTGAAGTGATGTCTGGCATGAGTACCAGATAAGGATCAGCAAACTTGAAGTATGACATGTGATGTGCTCTTTTGACATGAAAATCTAGCTTGGGAAAACATCATTGGCTGAAACAGGAATCTGTACTCTCCTGCAGCTGCAAGCGTTAGAGCCTAGAGCTTGTGTTCTCTCTCTCTCTCTTTTTTTAAAGAATCATTTACTTAGTTATATGTGTCATCTTTTTTTGTTTGTTTAATTTGCTACAGGACAGATGTGCTCACAAAAGAGAGACAGAGAAAAAAAGGGAAAGTGAGAAAGTAAGCTGCCAGGTTTGGGACTCAAACCAAGGTTGGCCATGTGAGAGTCCAACACCTTAACCACCATGCTACTTGCTGGCCCCTGTGCTCTCTTTCATAAGACACATTTTCGACAAAGTGCAAAAGCAATAAGCCAGGTTATTATTTCTAATCCTTGCTCACGAGGGTCTTGTTTCATTCCTTTTTGCAGAGGTGACTGGTAGTGAATTTGTAGAACTTTGGGGCAGTTCCACATGTCAGAGGCTCAGGTTCTCTTCTGTGAGACATGAAGCATGGCCAGAAAATCCTGTCTTTATAACTTTTCTCTGAAATTGTGGGCAAAGAGAATGTAATGTTTTGCTTAGTGTACTTAAGAATATAAATATTTTTAAATTAGTTATGGAGTCACATGAAGGGGAAGTGGGAAGGGAACTTCCACAGGGCTTATTCACTCCACAGTCTCCTTCCTCCAGGTTTCTAGCCCACCAAGACCCTGGGCACGTGCCAGCGCACCTGCCGCATTTTCAGGCTTGCTGGTCTGGGGATTTGAGCTGTGTTTGGTATGTGGCTTCCAGTTCCACAGCCCAATATGCAACTTGTTATGCTCCTGAGCTGGGCCCAAAATATATATTGAATGATTTAAATATTAGAAACGCTAGTGAATAGACTTAATATACCGATTCTCACCTATACAAAATAGTTCCTCTTTCATTTCATAGAAATAAGTACTTTCAAAAATTCTCATCTATTTTATTCTCCTGTGCCTACCTCAAGTTCTACTTTTGTATTACTGAGAATGGAGAGGAGTGCAGTTTTGGACCAGCAGATGGCATAATGGTTACATCACTGGACTCCCATGTAGTTGACCACGGTTTGAGTTGCAGACCCAGTGACTTAAAGCCCATGTTGGGCACGTACACATGTATGCCCAAGACCCTGTGAAGAGAATGGGAGAGAAAGGATTGTGGCATGGTTATCCCTCTGGGGGAAGATTTCTCACTTTCTATCTCTCTGTCTCTCCAGTGAGCTCATGCGTCCTATAGCAAAAATTTCTCTAACAACAACAACAACAACAAAGAATGCAGTCTTATATGCTGCCAAAAGGCATCGAAGAGATTATAAGATTTGGGTCGTAGCCATAGTTCAGACTAGCTAATTTGCTAAAAGTTAGCATGTTTGTAGGACCTACTATAGTTTCTGTTTCCATAATTGCTTTTTTTTTTTTTTTTCCTTTTTTGGCTGTTTTTTCAAAATGCCTGAGGAAATTGATAGAGGTATGGATAGATAGAAACTTATGTGATAAAGCCAATATAAAAATATTAATTACAGGATCTAGATCACGATCATACTGGTGTTATATAAAACTTCCACTCTTTCTTTTGAAATTGTCATTATTAAATATTAGAGAAGAAGATACCCAGTGTAATTAAGTACACGTAAAAGTCAAGAGTAATAATGTGAGGAAGGACTCAAGATCTGCTTCTGCATTAATGGCCAGGCTTCTTTCTCTTGCAGGTCAAGTTTAGTGAACTAACAGTTGACATGTTCCGGATGCTACAAGCCCTTGAAAGGGAGCCAATGAATTTAGCCTCCCAGATGAATAAACCAGGAATGCAGGTGATCATCTCCCTACATTTGTGGATTCCGTAACATTCTGGCTGCTTCAGCTCCTAGAATACAGCCCGTTATTCAACAAATGCTGCAAATGCAAATATAGAATTCTCTCAAGACATGGGGATAGATAAGCATAATCACAGGAAAGATGTGTACCAGGAAGGATATTTGATTAAGAGAATAGCTGAAAAAGGACTTGGTAGCTCATCTGTCCAATGTAGCTTGTCTGTATTTTGTTTCTGTGTGCAATCATAGGAATCGGCTGATAAGCCTACCAGGCGAGAAAACCCCCACAAGTATCTGCTCTACAAACCAACCTTTAGCCAGCTCTACACATTCTTAGCAGCGTCTTTTAAGGTATGTGTGAGCTAGTTGTTTGTACTATGTGGGAAGTGGCTCCGAATGCAGTTTTAAGCATCAGTCTTCACTTGAAATTTTAGAGTCCAGTTTAGGTAAGATCTAAAAATATGCCATTAGAATAACCGTCTTAGTCATAGCTGTTTTCAGAATGAAAATTGCTTATAATGTTGCAAATGTTCCTTACCATTAATTAATGAGAATATTGATTGTCATTCTGCTTTCTCCAGATTTTCGGTACTAAACTGCTTTAGCTGTAATTGTCAATGTAGAGCTGAAAAAACAAGAGCAGATTGCATAGGCATGCTTTATTTTTATATATTATATATATAATATAAGTAACTGTGAACATCTATATATATGTTCAACAGTACAAAACATTTTTTTAAGTTTTATTTATTTCTTCTATAAGAGAGAGGGAGAAAGAGAAAGACTGTCATCTCTGACAAGGTCTTCATGCCATGCTCTACCCGCGCCACCCCCCCCCCCCCCTCTTACTTGACTGGTGTCACAGGCATTGTACACGTCCAGTGTGCTCAGGGAGGGTTCAGATCATGAGCCCAGGACCTTTCCCTTGTGGGTCCAGTTGCCTTACCACTGTGCCACTGCCTGGCCCCTGTGAAATGTTTTGATCCATCTGAAGAACTATGAGAAGTGGGAGAGTTCTTCCCAAAGTTTATGTTGAAAAAGCAATGGAAGGGAGTTTTTATTTTAGTCCTAAATGTACCATCTTTTTCCTTTTTCTTTTCTTAGAGAGATTTTTGCTATAGGGCACATCATGTGCTCACCAGAGAGAGAGATAGAAAGCGAGAAATTGTGGCTGCACCACAATCCTTTCTCTTCCATTCTCCTCTCAGAATTTTGGGCACACACGCACACACACTCGGTGAGTTTTAAGACCCCGGGTCTGGGACTCAAACCGTGGACAACTACATGGGAGTCTAGTGACATAACCATTACACCATCTGCTGATTCCAAGGCCTATATGCATGATTTTTTTTTTAAGAATTATTTTATTTAACTTCATTTATTTATTTTAATTTAACCAGAGAATAACAGAGTGAGAGAGAGAAAGGGAAAGTGAGAAAGCAAGCCGCCAGGTTCAGGACTTGAATCATGGTCAGCCATGTGGGAGTCTAGCACCCTTCACCACCGCGCTATCTGCCAGCCCCTATATGCACAATCTTAACCTCTCATTTCAAGTTTTCAAAGAAAGTTTGCTAAATGATGGGACTTTGAAGCAGGGAATGTCTTTATAACTTTTAACAGTAATAGATTATAGAAACTTTTTTTTTTTTTTTTTTTTTTTGCTGTGTATATAGCAGAAACAGCAAAAATAACAGTTATGTTAGATTCTTGTTTTCCACACAATGTAAGATGTCGTGAACCTGAAATACAACTGTACTGTGTTCTCCTGTTTGTTCTATGTGTGATTTTCTCATTGCAGGAGCTGCCTGCCAATAGCGTGCTTCTGATCTACCTTTCAGCCACTGGCGTTTTCCCCACAGGTCGTTCTGATAGTGAAGGTACAATAAAGGAATGCTTCCTGTTGTGAGCAGGGCTTGAATTATCTTTATTTTCTACAAGACAGTGCCTATAGCCCACAGACCATCTTGAGCTTTCTAGATAAGCTTCCAAATTTGAAATCTGTCTATTTGTTGAATTGGTGATCTTATAGCTACCCCAGTCTATTTTATTTTCTGAAATATTAGATGTTGAAGTCTGTACATTCTCAAAAAGATCATGTATTAAATACATGCTTCATTATCGAATTTGACAAAGGGTGATAGATTCCTATTTGTAAGGAGTTTGATGCTTTGAAGTCATAAAGGATGATGGTAAAACCTCACCTAATGATTCTACATCATTGGATTTTTCTGACCCTTGAGAGCTCTAGAGAAGCTGGTCGGCGGCTACATAATGGCTGAAAGTCTTTGTAGAAATCAGTGCACTTTTGTAACTGAAAGTTCAAGTCCTTGTCATCAGTTTGCTTTCTGTCCTTTTTTTTTTGTTCTTTGTTTGATGGAGTCAATCTGTGGAATATTGGGATGCGGTTTCAGAAAAAAATCTTAAAACTGTCCAGAACATGTGGCTCAGAAATTGGTCAGAATAGATGAGTAAATTGGATGTAAATAAGAGAAGTAAATCTTTATCTGGACAAAAACACAAAAAACTTTTGACATTCTTAACATTTTCCTCCTCATCTGTTTGTTGAAATTTGCATTCCTTTATACTGTGCATGCCCCTCCCATCTTCCTTGCATGATTTACAGATTCTTCTTAAAATGTTCAAATGAAAACAAAACAAAATGAATCTCTGTAGTCTTTGCATTGCACTGATTTTACTTAAGGGATAAAAGATAACAGCCTTAAAGGTATTGCAGAATCTTAAACCACCTTAGTTTTTATTGTGTAATAAGGATAGTAGTTTTATTTGGAAAGGATTATTTCTGTCACGTACAGCATATACTATTAAATCAGGTTTTCTGGTCTTCCCTACATTTTTTTTTTCTATTATTTTTTTTTCTTATTTCCAAAGTGTAATAGGTAATAACTGAATGGTTCATTGAGCGATTATCTGAATATCTCACAGTTGCTGTCTATTAGACAGCAGTTTAGTGAATTCATGACCAATATGACTGATATAATACTGGTAATAATTCACACATGAAATAATGGCTATATTTTTCCTGAAGTTGAAATTTTTGTTAAGGAGAATTTTTCAAAATTCTTCCCCATATTTCATAGTTAATGGCTCATTTAAAATTATATTTATTGGAACAGCAGGTGGTGTGGAGGTTAAGGTGCTGGATCCCACATAACCATCTCCATGGTTCAAGTCCCAGATCCAAAGGCTTGAAAATTACACCCTGTGCCCAAAATCCCAAAAGGGGAATGGAGAAGAGAAGTTGAGGGTGTTTTCTCACTTTTCTTCTCTTTTTCTGTCTCTGTCTCTCGCCAGTGACCACACCCTACAGAAAAAAAAATTATATTTATTTAAGAGATTAAGATGTTGCAACTTTAAAAATACTGATGTTATTAAATTGAGATTTTAATTTTGCTTGCAATGTGAAGACCACTTTGAACATCCCAGATCTCTGTCCCTTTTATAATCCAGAATAATAGGTGCAATAGATTCTTGTTTTGTTTCTCATTTTATTAGGGTTAAAGAACTGATGAGTAATTAAATGATATTTTAAAATGTTGACACAGGCAATACGCTGAAATCATATAAATACCACATTAAGTTAAAATGTTAAATTTTAAAATAAGTGTAATAATCTTGTAATAGTCTTTTCTCATATCAGTGGGAGATTCACACAATACTTCCATATTTGACTGTCAGATCAATGTTACTCATCAATTGAAGACCAGGATTCTTCTTAATTTTATAGGTCCTTATGATTTTGGAGGTGTGCTTACTAATAGTAACCGGGATATGATAAACGGAGATGCTATCCACAAACGGAATCAGGCTCACAAGGAAATGCACTGGTAGGTATATATTCTGGTGTCTCCATAATAAAAATTGTAACTCTCTTAAAATAGTGAGATGAGGACCTTTCTGTAGCACTAGAAAGGTTCCCTTAGACTACTATTAATAGCACTTATTTGGGGCTGGCAGGCAACGTGGTGGCTAAAGGTACGGGACTCTCACATGGCCAACTGCAGTTCAAGTCCCAGACCTGGAAGCCTGCTTTCTTGTTTTCTCTTTTTCTCTCTGTCTCACTCTGGTCAAATTAAAAATAATAGTGATAAATAAAAGAAAAAATTCTTTAAAAAATAGCACTTATTTTGATTCTGTAATGTTTCAGACTCTTATTGTAGGAAATTAGACCCTTGGCTAATATTCTTTGAACAAATAGTTTGTTATCTATTATATGACAGATGATTTTCAATCCTTGATATATCATTGAACAAAATATTCTCTTTGGGAGACCGGCAGGTGGTGTGGTGGTTAAGGGCACTGGACTCCCACATAGATGACCACAGTTTGAGTCCCGGACCTGGCAGCTTGCTTTCTTTCCCTCTCTCTCACACACTCTCTCACTCTGTCCCTCTCTGATCAACGTTAAGTCAATCAATCAATCATACATATATACATTCTATTTAGAGAAGATAGTAAATGTGTACATATTTTTATTAATGCAACCTTTAAATATAAATAAACTTGATATTTGATGAGTGAACTTAGTCTTGTGATTTCAGGTAGAATTTTGCCTATGGTAGATGAATCTTTCAGATTATCCATATGGTAGCCAGAGGTTCCCCAGGCCACATATTGGTGCTGTCGTTGATCTTAGTTGTAGATTGTTTGTATTAGAAAAATGTAGAGCTGGCAGGTGGCATTGGTGGCTGAGGAGCTGGACTCCCATGTGACTGACCATAGTTCGAATCCTAGACCTGGCGACTTTCTTTCTCACTTTTGTTCTCTCTGTCTCTCTCCTCTCTGGTCACATTAAAAAAGAAAGATAATAAAATTAAATAATTCTAAAAAAAATTTTTGCCATAGGGCGGGCACCACCACACCCTAAAAAAATTTTTTTAAGAAAAAAATGTATCAGGCCAGCATTTGGTGTGGTGGTTAAAGCATTGGACTTCCACATGGTTGACCACAGTTTAGGTCCTGGACCCAGTGGCTTGAAAATCATGCCAGGCACATGTGCACATTTGCCCAAAATAGTGAGAGTAGAATGAAAGAGACAAAAAGGATTGCAGTGTGGCCATCCCCTCCGGGGGGTGATTTCTCACTTTCACTCTCTCTGTCTCTCTCCAGTGAACACATGTGCTTTATGGCCAAAACAAAACAAAACACCTTAACCACCACCGAAAAGAACAGTGTAGCAAATATGTAAAAAAGTGCTCACCATCACTAATCAGGGAAATGCAGATGAAAACCATCCTGAGATACTGCCTCTCATTTGTCAGGATGGTAATTATCCACGAGATAAGAGATACCAAGTGCTGGTGAGAATGCAGAGAAAAGGGACCCCTCTACACTGCTGGGAAAATGAAAATTGGAACAGCCATATGGAAAAAAGTAGAGAAGTTCCTCAAAAACTTAAAAATAGAACTGTTATCCAACCCAACAATCCTGTTCTGGGTACATAGCCAAGGGAAATAAAATCAGTATGTGAAGGAAACCTGCACCCCCTGTGCACTGTAGCATTATTCATGGTAGCCAAGATGTGGAAACAACGTAAGATCCGTCAACAGACCGATGGATAAAGGAATTGGGTGTACAGGCACACACGCATGCACACACAGTGGCATGTTTTCAGTCCCCTAAAAGAAACCCAGCCAGCCATGTGCAGCAACATGGGAACTTGGAGGACCTTATGCTGAGTGGAATAAGCCAGAAATAACTGAGAAATACTGCATGATCCCACTTATAGACGGAATCAAAAAATTGAACTCATAGAAGAGAGAATAGAATGGTGGTTGCCAGGGTCTGGGGATGAGGGAGAGATGGTCAGAGGGTACAGACTTTTAGTTCTAGGATGAGTAAATTCTGGGGCTTAACATAGTACGTGGTGATGATAGTTAACTATGCAGAACTATTTACTTGAGATTTGCTAAAAGAGTGGATCTTAAGTGCCCTCACTACTCACATAAACAAACGCACGTGCAGTTTGACCATGGTAATCACTGTGCACACACACACTCACACACCAGATTCCATGTTGTATACTTTTAACATATTGAATAGATACTGTATTTGTCAGTAAAATAAATTGGTATTTGAAATACAGTAAAGTTTGATGGTATTGTTCAGTGAAACATTTTATGTACTTGTATTTTTACATTCATGCTGATATTTTGCTTTCTTAGAATTCTCTTATTTAATGTTATTTATTTTAATTTGACCAGAGAGGAACAGACTGGGGGATGGGGGAGTGAGAAAGCAAGCTGCCAGGTCCAGGACTCAAACCACAGTTGGCCAAGTGGGATCCCAGTGCCCTTAACCACCACACCACCTGCCAGACCCTCACGTTGATATTTATACACATACACACATTGTCCACTAAGCCCTGGGAAAAAGAGGCATGCACACTAAGTTTTTTGGAGCAATTTTTGCTATAGGACTTGTATCTCACTCACCAGAGAAGCAGAGACAGAGAGATAGAAAGTGTCCCCCAGGGGGATGCCCATGCCACAGTCCCTTCTCTTCTATTCTCCTCCTGGGATTTTGGGCACATATGTGCACATGCCCTGTGTAAGTTTTTTGCTATAGGGTGCATGTACTTACCAGAGAGACAGAGAAATAGAAAGCAAGAAATTGCCCCTCCGAGGGGATGACCACATTGTAGTCCCTTCTCTTCCAGTCTCCTCTAGGGATTTTGGGCATTAGTTTTTTTTTTTTTTTTTTCCTTTTTTTTGAGAGGTTTTCACTATAGGGCACGTGCGCTCGCCAGACAGACAGAGAAAGACATAGAGACAGAAAGCGAGAAATCATCCCCCATGGGGGATGGCCACGCTGCAGTCCTTTCTCCTCCATTCTCCTCTTGGGATCTTGGGCACACACACACACACACACACACACACACACACACTGTGAGTTTTAAGCCACCGGGTCCAGGATGCGAACCGCGGTCGACTACGTGGGAGTCCAGCGACATAGCCATTACGCTAACTGCTGGTCCCTGGGCATGAGTCTTAAGCTACCAGGTACAGGCCTTAAACGGCAGTTGATTATGTGGGAGTCCAGCAAGTAACCATTATGCCATCTGTTGGTCCCCTAGTGTGAGTATTAAGTCATTCAGTCTGGAACTCAAACCATGGTTGACCATGTGGGAGTCTGGTACCTTAACCACTATGCCACCTGGTGGTTCCAAATTTTTGATATTTTTAAGCAGTGACTTTCAAATACATGTTACTGGAGATACCTTTAGGTTCCGTATATCTCCTGTGGGCTGGTGAATCTACTGTTTAACAGGCACCCCAGGTGATTCTGATGCAAGGTCCAAAGCAGACATGAAGGAAAATAAAAGGGGTTTCCCAGATTATTTTCTTAAATATTAAGATGTAGTTGAAACTATTAAAAATCTTAAAAATACCTATACATTTTGAAGACTAATTGAAGTATATGTCTGGTTGTGGTAGTGCATTTTGTTTATAAAACATGTTCTTAGAAGAAGCTATTAAAATATGAAACAAGGCCCGGCAAGGTGGTATGGGGGTTAGGGCACTAGATCCCACACGGCTGTCTGCGTGCTCTAATTCCGGACCCAGTGGCTTGAAAATCATGCTGGGTGGATGCGTATGCATGCCCAAAGTCCTGAAAAGAGATGGGAGGAGAAGAGATCATAGTGTGGCCATTTCCTCCCTACCCCCACCAGAGGTTGGTTTCTCACTTTTCCTCTGTCTCTCTCTGGTGAGTGAATTCAACCTATTGCCAAAAAAAAAAAAAAAAAAAAAAAAGAGAGAGAGAGAGAGAAAAGAAAGAAAGAAACAAGTACTGACATGTTAACTTCTGAGGTTTTCACACTGTGCGTTTGGTCACCTTTATAGACTTCTCTTTAGCTCTCTTTCGCTAGAGACAGACAGACAGACAGAGGAGCATCCGCAGTAGGGCTGGTGCTGTGATTCCCCCCACTGTCAGTTAGCTGAGGTCACAGACGTGTGCTCATGCCACTGGCGTCTCAAAGAGGTCCCAGAATAGGAACCCAGGGCCTTTCCCACTCTGCTCTAGCTGCTTTAACACTGTGCTACCACCTGGCCCCTAGCTTAAATATTCTTGAAGAATAATTCTCCTGAACTTTTCCCAAAAATACCTTCTTTGGCTACTCCACTAACTACAGCCTTTTTTTTTTTTTTCTTGGTCCTTTCTTAATTTTTGTTTTTCTCTCAGTGTTGGTCTTTTTTTTTTTTTTTTTTTTTTCATGGGAGTCCAGTGACATAACCATTAGGCCATCTCCTGGTCCCCAGGTGCTGTATTGAAAAGCAGATGTGAGCAGACCAAACTAAGAATAAGATCGTCGATCTCAGTTTTGCCTTCTTCATTGCTATTGTTGTTTTCCTAGCCTTCATCCTGGAGACCTCTACCCTTTCACCAGGAAGCCCTTGTTCATCATTGTGGACTCGTCCAACAGTGTCGCGTACAAGGTGAGTCCCCTGGGAGCTGCTGCACTCCTGAGACGTCCAGCACCAACGCCAGGGTACCCTTCCTACATGTGCCTTTCTATCTTGCTTTATGCTGCTTAATTTTGCAGTTTGTATTTAGTGTTTCTTTTCTTTTGAGGTTGTGCATGCTAGTCAGGATCTGGTGCTATGAATAGAAACAAGAAGAAAACGCATGAATGGACACTCAGTGGAAAAAAAATAAATCCTCCTGCAGGAAAAAAATATTCAAGATTCCCAAGATCTCTGGTGGGAGGTTTATTTTCGTTATATAACCCAGAATAATTTTATTTTATAGAGATAGAGGTATATGGGTGAATTTTATTTTTTGGTTTTCAGTATTTTTCCACTTCTACACACTGAGCTGCTGTAGTTTGAGTGAAACTTCTATCCCATTTTATACCATTATAATGTTTGAATAGTAACACTTTGTTCTACATGCACTGAATTTATTTATTTTTTAAATTTATAATAATCAGAAATAAAAGATAGCCCTGAATGCTAAAGTAAATGACAGGGATCTTACTTAAATGTCCTTTGTTTTATATTTTGCTATTGAAGTGATGATTTCTGATGACTCTAAAAAGAATATTCGGTGGAACCAGCAGTTAGCGTAATGGCTATGTCGCTGGACTCCCACGTAGTCGACCGCGATTCGCGTCTCGGACCTGGTGGCTTAAATCTCACGCCAGGCATGTGTGCATGCGTGCCCAAGATCCCAAGAAGAGAATGGAGGAGAAGGGATTGCGGCGTGACCATCCTCCCAGGGGGTGATTTCTCACTTTCTGTCTCTCTGTCTCTGTCTGTCTGGCGAGCACACGCGCCCTATAGCAAAAACCTCTCCAAAAATAAATAAATAAATAAATAAATAATAAAAAGAATATTCGGGAACCAGCAGATGGTCCAGTTATGTCACTGGACTCCCATATGGCTGACCATGGTTCAAGTCCCAGACCCAGTGACTTGAAAAATCACACAGGTGTTTGTGCATACATGCCCAAGATCCAGGAGGAGAAGGGATTGCAACATGGCCATTCCCCATGAAGGGTGATTTCTTACTTTCCCTCTCACTGTCTCTGGCAAGCACATGCACCTAAAACGAAAACCTCTTAAAAAAAAAAAAATTCAAATTTAAAGCAAGAAAAAAAAAATTAAAGTTGAGTATTAGAATTCAGACGAGAGTAATTTACAGGGGAATGAAAACAGACAGTCTTTAGAGTCCTCTGTATCTGATTAGAATGTTTTATTAGTGAAAAATGTGTTGAGAAACATACTGGGTACTCCTCCCGGCCACTTACAACTATTTCTGTTGTGGGTGTTCACATTTGCAATTAGATAGAGAAACAAGCATTAGTAGATTTATTTTAGGAGTGCACTGGGAGCCTAGAGAGCTGACATATCTTTTCTGTATATTTTGTTTTCATGTTTAGTTTCACGTTTTAAAATTAAACTCTGGGGGCCAGCAGGTGGCCTGGTAGTCAGAATGCCAGACTGCCACATGGCTGACCATGGCTCAAGTCTCAGACCTGGTGACTTGCTTTCTCTCTCTCTCTAGTGAGCGCACATGCCCTGCAACAAGAAATATTTTTTAAAATTTAATTAAATAATTATTTCAAGTTAAACTCTGAATTTCAAAAACACTCAATCTGCCCTAATATTCTCAGCATATTTCTTGTTATCCACTTGTCAAGCTTAATATTATGACGTTTACATTTCAGGAAAGTAGCTGTCTACCTTTTTACTTTGTGTATGTGATGTTGTGGGAGGTGGAATTGGGAACCTGCTGAAGGAAAAGGTTTATTGGCTATCCCATTTAAACTGCTAAAACCAGAAGAGTCCAGGCATTTTATCTCTTCACAGGACTCAAAAGAAGCATTCTGCATCTTTCTTGATGAAAGTGAATTGGTTGTGACAGTTTGATGATATGACAGAATGTGTGGATGTGCCAGATCAAGCGTGTCAGTTAACGTGATCTGCCGTGTGTTTGGAGTATTTTAGCAATCTATTAATTTCTCTCAGTTTAATTGGACATTATTAGACACCACCTTTTTAAATCTCAAGAATAGCATTCATTGCATGTGAGTGCTATTTCCAGAGCACTGTTTGAGTATAGAATGTATATCAGATGTCTATTTTTCTTTTTCTTTTCTTTTTTTTTTTTTTTTTTT